ATATTCATCGCACATGTCTCAGCACTTCACTGGCTGCATTATTGCGGGTGACTCTCTATGTATCAAACAGAGGATCCCAATGACATCCCCAGAGTCTGCATCTTCAAGAACAAGCTTTCATATGTAAATCCTCATTGGCTCTCCTTAAAGCGACTTGGTCCCTAAAGTGAAAATGTACATAAAAGTGCTCCCTGTAAAGAAGATATTAGATACATACCTGGCTGTCCATGCTGCTAAATGCCACTTTATTGCCCTGTGCACATTCCCCATTGTATGGCATTTATGGCTCATTGCAAATATTCAAGTGGTTATAAACCTCAGACATGAAATCTGAATAAAGCACATATCTATATAGTGTTTACTTGCCTCTCTCCAAAGCACTGTCATTTCTCTCTGCTAACTAGTTCCTCTGCTATCTGAATGAGTCACGTCTGACAGCTAAGAGCTAAAAAAAGGTGACAGGGGGAGGGAGCTGCACACAGCCTGGGATTGACAGCCTCAGCTCTGTTCCTGTGTGCTGTGTGAAGGTGGGGGGAGCGTCCCTTCCCTCCAATCAGCTCTCAGAGCTCTTGTGAAGTGTAACTGCAGCTCCCTCCCCGCCCCCTACTTTGAGAGTCTGACAAAAATCCTTTTCATCTCTAAGTTTTACAAGAATGTAGAAGACAAATTGCGGCAGATTAAAAGGTACAACCTATGTAGGAGGATTTGTTTAATCTCTGTGCATCACCTGATTAAAACCACTTTAAAATGGAGCTCCAGTCTCTGGAGAATAAATAGAAGTCAGAATCTACAAAAACTGTAGTTGCTGACTTAAAAAAAACAGCCACTCACCTGTCATAGGATCCAGCGATGTCCTCACTGCAGCCGGGTTCACCAGTTGTACTGCGTTCCAGGTGCCAACATCTTAAGTGTGGGCACCCGGCTGTGACAGCTTGCAGCTTCACAACTGGGTGCCCGCTGCGTATGCGCGAGCGGCACTGCACATTGTGAATGGTCCTGTGGAAACATTCACGGGAGGGGGGGGGGGGGAGAACATCCGCTTCTGATCACAGCAGAAGTAGGTGTGGTTACCTGTCAAAAATCGGGTACCCGCTCCTCAAAGGTGCCAACATTGTCCTCTGAAGTCTCTTCAGCAACCAACATTTCCAACAGTGTTGATTTCCTGGTCCCCCCTGCTCTTAGTGGTCCCTCTCACACACACATGGAGACCAGGAGACTGACACTCTAGCAAGTGTTTTGGGTTTGTAAAGAGACTTGACGGGAGGATTTCTCCAGTGGAGCGGTGTTTGGCGGTAGAGGCAGCAGAAGAGGTATCCACCATCTTCCTTACAAGAAGAGCTTTCATTTATACTTTCAGTAGCTATGTACAGCTGTAGTCAGCTCTGTAACGTGTCCAGTGATCGATGGATATGAATTGAGGGCAATGGAATGGATTTACTAAAACTGGAGAGTGCAAAATCTGGTGCAGCTGTGCAGAGAAACCAATCAGCTTCCAGGTTTAAGCCCTGGTTCACACTGAATGCAACTTTAAAATATAACATTACATAACTTTATAACATATAAAGCCATTTATAACCCAAATGCCTCAAATTACATCACCAATCTTGTCTCCGAATATCACCCAAACCGTCCTCTCCTCTCCGCTCCTCCCACGACCTCCTGCTCTCTAGCTCCCTTGTCTCCTCCTCCTATGCTCATCTCCAGGACTTCTCCAGAGCCTCCCCATCCTCTGGAACTCTCAAACTCAATCTATCCGACTATCTCCTACTCTGCCCACTTTTAGGCGAACTCTGAAAACCTATCTCTTCAGGGAAGCCTATCCTGCTTTCAGCTAATAATAGAATCTTCTAGTCCATCCCCCCACAGTTATTATTACTTTTTGTACCCACTAGCCCCTCCCTCCTAGATTGTAAGCTCCAAGGAGCAGGGCCCTCCTATACTTCTTGTATTGAACTGTATTGTTGCTGTATTGTCTCCCTTTAATTTGTAAAGCACTGAACAAACTGTTGGCGCCATATAAATCCTGTATAATAATAATAACTTTGAAATCGTGCTACTTCACTTGAAGTATCGCGATTTCAAAGCTGCAGATCAGTATGATTTGTACCGCTAAGATCACTGCAGCTTGCAACTTCATTTAACAGAAGTCAATGAAAGTTGCAATGAAATTAGAAAAAATAGTGTGCTATTTTTTAAATTGTGCTACTTCAAATCGCACGGATTAGGACAGTGCCATAAAAATACATTAGATGTAACTTCAGGTGCAATTTGTAAATTGCATGTCGCACCGCTATGAACCAGGACTTTTTGTCAAAGCTTAATTGAACAAGCTGAAGTTAGAAGCTGATTGGCCACCATGCACAGCTGCACCCGATTTTGCACTCTCTCGTTTTAGTAAATCAACCCCAATGGCTCACTCTCTTACTCCAAAAATGCACAGCTAACCTGGTGGCAGTAAAATGTATTTTAATGAAGTAGGCAGCCATCTGTGATTACTGAGCTTTGTGTTGTGACTAACTCTCAGAGATCGTATTAGTCTTCACAAATAACACACACACACATTATATATATCATTTTTTTTTCTCAGACAATGGGTGCAGGAACTCTCCCTTTCCAAGTCACCCCTTGTCTCTGCCCCCTACACACCTCTGCACTGTTCCTTGGTTCCACCACCTTTTAGAGAATACAGAACCAAGTATCATTTTGCAGCGCTAAGTCATTTGTATGGAATTTGTTAATGATAACAAGAACAGCAGTAAAACAGATCCTCTGAAGCCAGCAACAATAGACCCCCTCCAGCAACAATAGATCCCCCCCACCCATCAACACCGGAACTCCCCCCCAGCCAGCATCAATAGACCCGCCGGCAATCAGCAATAATAGATCCCTCCCATCAACAATTAACTCCCCAGTGACAATAGATCCCCCAGCACACCCTAGCACCCCTTGCCATTACATACATTCAGTGCTGGAGGTGCCAGAACTGCGTTCCTCCACGTTCCCGCTGAAAAAAAAGCCATATATATATATATATATATATATATATATATATATATATATATAACCCCAACAATGTCTGATCATGATTATGAGACAAACATTCCACCAGAGGGCAGTGTCACCCTCGGGAAATGTCCCTTATAACTTATAGGTATATCCCAAGACCAATCTAAACTGTTTGTTTATTACAGATAGAAGAGGGAAGGGTTAAAGCTTCTGTCCATACGGGACCATCCACATGCAGAGATGTCACAATGGGAGATGTGGCTGTTTTGCCCAGCTGCTGCATCCCGGGCCCCCGGGCAAAAGGGGATCATGGGGCCCCTGTGTCCTTGCCCAAACTCAAAAAAGCCTATGAAAAAGGTACCAGGGGCATCTCATGGGGCCCCCTACTGACCCCGGGCCCTCAGGCAGTGCCCGAGTTTCCAAATGGTCAGTCCGCCCCTGGTTGCACCCTATGCTTGACATATATGTGTAGTATATTAGTCCTCTATTGTTTTGAAACATACTTTTAAAGGGGTTTAACCACTTTGGGATTAAATACGTTTCCATTCATGGGCCAATATGAAATATAGAGATTACATGGTTTGGATCAGAACAAGCAGCTCAGAAGTGATGTGTCTTTTCCACCAACGTGGTGCCCCCAATAGACCAGTATTGGCGAATATTCTCTCCTAGGCCAATAAGCAGAGGGATAATCACACTTGTTCTGTTGTACCTGTTTGGGGTACACCAAACAGGTGCACTGCGTGCAAATGAACTGACAAGGAGCAAATGGACAGGAGGAGAGAGCAGAGTAAGCAGAAAGATGACCTCACCTTTCTGCTGCTGCTCCTTCACTGTCCAACCAGCATGTTGGAGGTGGAAGGAGAGGATACGACAACACTGAAGTTGTTCTATAGGTAAAAAAACCTTCTGCATGCAGCTTCCCCACCCCCACCAGCCCCCTCTTATAATTACCTGTGCTTGATTTCAATCCAGTCATGTGTATGACAGCAGAGGCTGTCTTGGTTTTCTTCCTCCTCATTGGCTCAGAGACAGCCACAGGAGCCATTGGCTTCGCCTTCTGTCAATCACAGCTAGTGAGGAAAGAGTGGGGGCGGAGCTAAGCCACGCTCTGTGAGTCAATGGACATGCACAAGTGCCTCCATAGCAAGCAGTTTGCTATGGGGGCACTCGAAGGAGGGGGGGGGGGGGGGTTTGCCAGGAGGGCCATCGGAGGACCAGGGCTGCTCTGTGCAAAACCATTACACAGAACAGGTAATTATAACATGTTTGTTGTTTAAAGAAAAAAAAATCTTTCATCCTTTACAATCACTTTAGCTGTAACAGAGGATTTGGTGTCATCCTCCTATGCTGTGTGATGGGGCTGTGTAAATTTGGTACGCTCAACACTCACTTTCTTTTGGATGAATGTTTTTCACTTTGATATCCAGAGAAGTACATACTGTATAAGGGATTAAGAAGTCTTGTGCCATAAATCATAGCCTGTAGCATGTTTTGCATAGATATTGTAGAAGCTGAGAAGAGAACAAAATACATGTCTTGTCTCCAAAGATCACCCAAACTGTCCTCCCCGCTCCTCCCCCGACCTCCTGCTCTCTAGCTCCCTTGTCTCCTCCTCCAATGCTCATCTCCAAGACTTCTCCAGAGCCTGCCCCATCCGCTGGAACTCTACCCCAATCTATCCATCTATTGCCTACTCTGCCCACTTTTAGGTGATCTCTGAAAATCTCTTCAGGGAAGCCTATCCTGCCTTCAGCTAATAACAGAATCTTCTATTTCTCCTACCAGTCCATCCCCCGCAGTTATTACCTTTTGTACCACCAGCCCCTCCCTCTTAGATTGTAAGCTCCAAGGATCAGTGCCCTCCTTTCCCTCTTGTATTGAACTGTATGGTTTCTGTATTGTCTCCCTTTATATTGTAAAGCGCTGAGCAAACTGTTGGCGCGATATAAATCCCGTATAATAATAATAATGTACAGTACAAAGTTACTCACATGGGAGGTAGGGTTATTGTCCCCTGCAGATGATGACTTTCCGGGGCCTAAAAAGCAAGCAATGAGTTAATTATGGGAAGAAAGCATTCCTACAACACACACAGGATGGTAATGGTACCTGTACCTGATGCGGACTCATTGGGACACTCAAAAAACTCCTGTTCTTCCTCATTGTGACCTTTGACCCCAGTGTCTGTCTGCTTGGTCGCTGGAGCTGATGCTAGTTTCTCCTCATCCGTAGCATGACCCTCTCGCTTCTCAATGCTAGGAGAATCGTCTTCTTGCTGAAAATACATTTTCAATATAAGCTGCTGACAAAATTCATTACAACATAAAAAGTAACGCAATAGGTAAACTTTACAAACAGTATTTGCAATAAAACAAATCTTGAATTTCTGATTACATGGCCAAACAGCATATTAGGTCTGAAAAGCTTGAGGCTCCATGCACACTAGCAGTTTTTTTTAAGTTCCAAGAAGCTGTTATCAGCATTTTTCTTTCTGTTCCTAGAACTAAATAGTGTTATCCTATGTGTCCATGCACAATGTTTTAGGCTGGTAGCATTTTTCAAGCTTCAACATTTAGCAGCAGAAAAAAATTATGTTGTAGAGTTTTTTAAAAGCATTTTTCTGGCAAAAAAAAATGCTAAAACACTCCTAAATCACTCCTAACAGCTTTTATTTAACTTTTAATTTTTTTTCCTACATGTTCCTACATGTACTGTAAAAACAAAAACTCTCCTACTAAAAAAAAATATTACCAGCATTTCTTATCCAACGCTTTTTCTAGCATTTTTTGAGCTTAAAAAAAAAATGCTACTGTGCATAGAGCCTTAACAAAGAAGCCTTTTTTTTTGTTTTTTTTTACAGCATTCAGTTCCGGATGGGACAAATTACATGCTGTACTTGCTCCACTTTCCTAGGTTCCCTGTAACACACGTAACAAGTCAAGTAAAACGCAAGTTTTTTAGCGTTTTTGCATTAGCATTTTGCTGCGTTTTTCCACGTTTGCATTTTTTAGCGTTTTTTTATACAAAAAATATTTGCTCAAAAAAAGTCCAAAAATGTCGGTTTGCCGTATTTTACTGCGTTTTTCAGCATTAGATTCGTTTTTAGTCCTTATGCACACTGGATGTTTTTACAGCGGCTGTTTTTGGATTTTGGTGTTTTTTTCTACAGCCAGTAAACTCCCCAGCATGTTTTCCTATGTGTCCATGCACACATAGGCTTTAATCAGCGTTTTATGGCAGGGGCGTTTTTTGCTGGAAAAAAACCCAGAACTAGTGGGTTTCTAGAGGAGTTTTTTAGCTGTTAGGCTCTATGCACACAGGATGTTTTAATAACGATGGTAACTTTAGCTGTGTAAAGTCATGTTAAAAAAACATGAGTTTTTCAGCGTTTTGTATTAGCATTTAGCCGTGTTTTTTCACGTTTGTGTGTTTTAGAGGTTTTTGTGGCCAAAAAAAAAATGTTTTTATAATAAAAAAACATCCAAAAATGCTGGTTTGCCTCGATTTACTGCGTTTTGCCACATTTTTCAGCATTTGAGCATTTTTACAGCTAAAAAACTCCTCTAGAATCCCACTAATCTTGTTTTTTTTTTTTTCTAAGCAAAAAACGTCCCTGCCAAAAACATTGATCACAGTCTATGTGTACATGGACACATAGGATAACATGCTGGGGGGTTTACTGGCTGTAGAGAAAAACATCAAAAGCCAAAAACAGTAGCTGTAAAAACGTCCAGAGTGCATGAGGACTAAAAACACTCTAACGCTGAAAAATGCAGTAAAAAATGGCCAATAGATGTTTTTTGAGCAAATATTTTATGTATAAAAAAAACTAAAAAAATGCAAAAATGCAGCAAAACACTAATGCAAAAATGCTAAAAAAAAAACTTGAGTTTTACGTGACTTCACACAGCTAACGTTACCAGCGTTATTAAAACGCTCCGTGTGCATGGAACCTAACTGCGGTGTAGAAAAGGTCAGACACTCTCCCTCAGCCCATGGCTGCTCAACACCACAGCTAGCAAGGACAGGCCCTATTTGCCAGTGAACAACTGTCTCTGGCTCCCATCACTTGCCCAAGGCCAGCACCAGCACAAGGAATGCAGAGAGAGGTGGGGCTGACACAATGCACATCCCTGTGCATTCATCTTGCTGGTGATTGCCTTGGACAAGAACTGGGATCTGGATACAAAATTTTATTTAATGCAATTTAATTCATGTATATATTTTCATATTTATTTATTTTTTATTTATGCATGTTTATATATTTTATATTATCACCACTGATAGTGGAGCGCAACACCTTGGTTTTTGATCTGGAGACAAATGCTCTCTAGCAAAGGAGCATTTGTCTAGCTTAGCTTTGATCCCGGGTGTCTGTACACCAAGGTGGGGGGCCCTGCCTGACATCACAACCAGCATCACAGGGCACCTAGGAAGATGGGGCAAACTACTACATGTACGGTGTTTCATCCATAACTGATCCTAGTGTCCCTAGAACCTACAAAGAATATTGTGGGTGGGTATTCTTAAGCCGGTCATAGATGGCTCAAATCTTGGCCAGTTCAGCAGGGACTGGCCAAGATTTGACGCATCTATGGGCAAGCTGGTTGTACTGAAGTTGATCCATCACTGACTTCAGTACAACCAGCATGTCGGATTTGTAGCAGGGCAATTACTGCCAGTAGCTATAGCCACTAGCAGTAATCATTGTGTTTTGCTGGCAGGGAAGGCTCCCCACCGGCAAAAACACAAGGGAGGGATTCCCCCATCAACACAGTCAGGAATCAAGAAATTTTCTTTCCCGCAACCTGTAAGTGCAGATAAGAAAGTCACATTATCTAAGGCAGGGCTTGAAATTTCCATTGGCAAGTGGAAATTATGGTGGGGACGAGTTGGTTCCCCTAGGGCCGTCTTGCTGAGCAGGCTCGGAGCTCAGGCTGGATCTGTCATTGGCACTGGGAGCCGTCAGACTGCTCAATAGCTGAGCGCAGTGAAAGCAAAGGAAGGAGTGTGTGCTGTGCTCTCTGCCTCCCCCTAGAGTGCAGTACCCGGCTCTGTGAGTGAACAACAAAGTACTGCAACTTTTTATTGTGCGTGTGTGTGTGTACGTGTACATGTGTATGTGTTTGTGTGTGTCTGTGTATGCATGTACAATTGTACATGTGTCTGTCTGTATGTACACATGTATCTGTACATGTGTCTGTGTGTACATGTGTCTGTGCGTGTGTATTTCTGTGTATGTACATGTATCTGTGTGCATGTGTGTCTGTACATGCCTGTGTGTGTGTATACATGTATCTCTGTGCGTGTGTACATGTTTCTGTGTGTGCAGTGTAGCCCCCTTCATTTGAATAGGTTGGCTTTAGCGCCAGTGCTGCCCATTGAATGCAGCAAGGGGTTTCATATTTGCTGTGGCCATGGCATATGTAAAGTCCTGAGTGGTTGCTTGTCTGTATTTAGGTGGGTAATCGGGGCACTAAAACTGCAGCTCAACCTCCTGCTGTTACCACCTGCACATCTGAATAAACGCTTACATTCACACAGACACGTCAAGTTACTGAATTAAATTTGAAAATTCAAGTCACTTGGCTAAATGAGAGTTCCTTATCCTTGTGTTAAAGCTTTGTGAATTGAGCCAACAGGATCATAAGTGTGCTGGAAGATCATCACAAACAGGAGAGTGGCAGAAAGCCAAGAGAGTAAGACAGATAGGAATGCTTAGAGCTGAGCTCCAAGCAAACAGCTAAATACACCGATAGAAGACATTTTTGGGAGTTGTTCCTTGCCAAAAAGATTCATATTTGTCCATCCAGTTCTGCGATTTACAACCTAATTCCAGACAGCAGAACCAGGCTAGTGAGCCCGATTTTCTCTACTGCGGTCAAAGCCCAAGTCTAGTTTTTGTTTTTTGTTTTTTCCTCTAAGCCCAGGGTATCACAGAAGCACCCCCTGGAGGATACAACATCAAATCGGCCTGGACTTACACTGCAATGCTGCATAGACCAGCGCTAATGTCATGGTGTAAGGACTGGTCTATGCAGCAGAAAGGACTGCCAATCCTGGGAAGACTGAAGAGGAATCCCAACTTGTCACATGTTAGTATAAAAGACAGCTGGAATTGGGGTATGCATTCTGCAAATTGTTTAAAAATTGGTTGGTTGGGCACGTCACGGCATCAGGGCTGTGGATAAGGGGGTACCACTGGTCCTCCTGTATGAGGCCCAGACCAGCAGGGGGGCCCAGGCAGCTGGGTGAATCAGATGTGGTCAGGGAGGGTGACCAGCATAGCGGGGAGGGAGGGTAACAATAACTGGAACTGATCCTCTGTATGGCTCTCTATGCTGCACCTCCTGATGCAGCATACATTTCCCCAGTCGCCCAAGTCCCCCTTTCCCGTGTGCACCCACCCCCCTTAATGCTGCCGGCCTCTCTACTTCCCTGCTGCAAACACACTATAGCATCCTTAGGATGAAGTGTGGGGGAAGGGTCCGTATATGTGTCACATTTACCAGCCCCTTCCTTTCCTGAATTTACATAATGAGTGATTTGTACCGATCACTCACTGTGTTCAATCATAACTGAAGCTTCGTAAACTGTGTTTATTTGGGGGCCCTGTCACATTGGCTGTACAGGCCCCATGGTTTCTGACAGCAGCCCTGCACGGCACCCCTGTGTAATGTAGTCCTAACTCTATAAGTTTAGAAAGTCTTCCAAGTTGGAGAACATATATAATAATGGATAGACTGAAGGCAGGTATGCCTGGAGGGAGCCCACCACTCCTTAAAAGGTATAGGGGGGCATTGGACACCCAGCAATAGCACAATAGCAGTGAAGGTATCCAGTGTCCTGTATATTAGTTGCATTGAAAAATGAATTTAGTGATTTTTTTAATGAATATATAACTGCATACATTGGTGTTTTTCTATCTGAATAGCATTCAGCTATGTTTCTCGGGTTACATGTGCTCTTTCAAGCTGTGTGCCTATCCCATGCCGCCCACATCAGTCAATATACAAGTCAGCAAAAATACAGGGTGTGGAAGAAATAACAGAAAGACCACTTGAAAAAGCAGTTCAACTCTGAAATAAATAGTTCACAACTGAAAATAATAACTGCAAACCTAAATTATGTTAGGCTGGTATTGGTTTGATTGCCAGTTAAAGCAGCCTCTCACAACCTTTGTACTTCAGGGAATTATATCTACAACTCAAGGTACATTAGTGTGATTAGTAACTTTGTCTAGGTTCATACAGTGGATATAAAAAGTATGCACACCGATGTTAAAATGTCGGGTTTCTGTGATGTAAAAAAAAAGGAGACAGATATATCATTTCAGAACTTTTTCCACCTTTAATGTGACCTATAAACTGTACATCTCAACTGAAAAACAAACTGAAATTGTTTAGGGGGGGAGAAGTAAGCATAAAAAACTAAAATAATGTGGTTGCATAAGTGTGCACATCCTCATATAACTGGGGATGTAGCTGTGTTCGGAATTAAGCAATCACAATCAAAATCATGTTAAATAGGAGTCAGTACACACCGGCCATCATTTAAAGTGCCTCTGATTGACCCCAAATAAAGTTCAACTGTTCTAGTAGGTCTTTCCTGACATTTTCTTAGTCGCATCCTACAGCAAAAGCCATGGTCCTCAGAGAGCTTCCAAAGCATCAGAGGGATCTCATTGTTAAAAGGTATCAGTCAGAAGAAGGGTACAAAAGAATTTCCAAGGCATTAGATATACCATGGAACACAGTGAAGACCGTCATCATCAAGTGGAGAAAATATGGAGCAACAGTGACATTACCAAGAACTGGACGTTCCTCCAAAACAGATGAAAAGACGAGAAGAAAACTGGTCTGGGGGGCTGCCAAGAGGCCTACAGCAACATTAAAGGAGCTGCAGGAATATCTGGCAAGTACTGGCTGTGTGGTACATGTGACAACAATCTCCCGTATTCTTCATATGTCTGGGCCATGGGGTAGAGTGGCAAGACGGAAGCCTTTTCTTACGAAGAAAAACATCCAAGCCCGGCTACATTTTGCAAAAACACATCTGAAGTCTCCCAAAAGCATGTGAGAAATTGTGTTATGATCTGATGAAACCAAGGTTGAACTTTTTGGCCATAATTCCAAAAGATATGTTTGGTGCAAAAACAACACTGCACATCACCAAACGAAGACCATACCCACAGTGAAGCATGGTGGGTGGCAGCACCATGCTTTGGGGCTGTTTTTCTTCAGCTGGAACTGGGGCCTTAGTCAAGGTGGAAGGAATCATGAACATTACCAAATACCAGTCAATATTGGTACAAAACCTTCAGGCTTCTGCTAGAAAGCTGAACATGAAGAGGAACTTCATCTTTCAGCATGACAACCACCCAAAGCATACATCCAAATCAACAAAGGAATGGCTTTACCAGAAGAAGATTCAAGTTTTGGAATGGCCCAGCCAGAGCCCAGATCTGAATCTGATCAAAAATCTGTGGGGAGATCTGAAGAGGGCTGTGCACAGGAGTTGCCCTCACAATCTGACAGATTTGGAGTGTTTTTGCAAGGAAGAGCGGGCAAATATTACCAAGTCAAGATGTGCCATGCTGATAGACTCATACCCAAAAAGACTGAGTGCCGGAATCAAATCAAAAGGGGCTTCAAAAAAGTATTAGTTTAAGGGTGTGCACACTTATGCAGCCATATTATTTTAGTTTTCTATTTTAACTTCCCTTCACCTAAATGATTTCAGTTTATTGTTCAACTGAGTTTTACAGTTTATAGGTCACATTAAAGGTGAAACATGACATTTTAACAGGGGTGTGTAGACTTTTTATATCTACTGTATACAGTTGTGCTCAAAAGTTTACATATCCTGGCAGAAATTGTGAAATTTTGGCATTGATATTGAAAATATGACTGATCATGCCAAAAAATGCTCTTTTATTGAAGGATGATGATCATATGAAGCCATTTATTATCAAATAGTTGTTTGGCTCCTTTTTAAATCATAATAATAACAGAAATCACCCAAATGGCCATGATCAAAAGTTTACATCCCCTGGAATGTCTGGCCTTGGTACAGACACACAAGGTGACACACATGGGTTAAAATGCCAATTAGAGGTTAATGTCCCTCATCTGTGGCTTTTTAAATTGCAACTAGTGTCAGTGTATAAAATGTCAATGAGTTTGTTAGCTCTTACGTGGAAGCAGTGACTAGGCTAGATACTGCGCCATGGGGATCAGAAAAGAACTGTCAAAGTCCTGCGTAACAAGGTAATGGAACTTTATAAAGATGGAAAAGGACATAAAAAGATAGAGGTTGCAGTTGACACATTTGGTGCATTTTTTAACACGTTTTTGATGCATTTTGGTTTTTTTTGGCTAATAGAAAAGCATGACATTTCTGTTCATGAAGTGCAACTTTGATGCAACTTTACACTCTCTAGCATTCAAGTAGCATCAAAGCTGTACTCCATGAACAGAACTGTCATACTTTCCTATTAGCCAACAAAAAAAAAAACGCAAAAAGCATTTTTTTTGGTGTGGGTACACTGAAGTCTATCACACACAAAACTCAATCTGCTGCGGGAAAAAAGTCCCTGACCCTTTCCAAAAAACGCACTGGCTCAACATGTACAGATGGAACTAGATCCATAGGAAACCATGTTAAATGGTTATCTGCAACAACTCATAGGTGTGAACCAAAGGTTACTTGCAAATGCTCCGCATACATTTTTGATGAAGAAAAAAGGCTCTGGACAGCATCTGGATATGGACCAGCCCAAAATCGTGTCTAAACGCAAATGCACATAAACGCATTTATAAGCGGTTACAAGCATTTGTCGTTTGAAACGCCGGTAAACTCTACTCCTGAACGCGATTTTTGTGCTTTCAAAAAAATGCCTTTAACCTCAACTGCCTGTAAACGACTATGTGTACATGGAAACATAGGGAAAACATAAAGGAGAGTTCAGGGGCTGCTGAAAAAAACAGCACAACTGCTCCTAAACTTCAGTTTAGCTGCTGCAGTGTACATGAGCCCTTAATCTCCAAATACGGAAAGGTTTCTTCACAGTAAGAGCTGTGAAAATGTGGAATAGACTCCCTCAAGAGTTGGTTCTGGCCAGCTCAGTGGATTGCTTTTTAAAAAGGCCTGGATTCTTTCCTAAATACACCCAATACACACCCCCTCTTGGGGGGGGGGTCAGGAAGGAATTTTTCCCCCTGCAGGAGCAAATTGGATCATACTTTGCTGGGTTTTTTGCCTTCCTCTGGATCAACTGTGGGCATAGGATTATAACTTTTTTTTATGGTTGAACTGGATGGACTTTTGTCTTTTTTCAGCCAGACTAACTATGTAACAACAAAGCCCTAAAACAAAGGTAATTAGAGGATATAAAATATCGTATTTTGGTCTACAATGTCAGGGGATAAGTCAGATAAAATTGGCTAAAAGGCATGGCACACTTGTCTATACCTAGCATGATTGCAATAATTTGTGGCACACGAATATTTGTTCACGGAGCACATTTGTGCGCACTGACACACGCCATGTGCAATAGATCTTGGTGCCCTCTGGCCTTTATAAGGATGACAGCTGCTCCCAGACTTTGCTGGCTGGTCTTCAGCTCCCTGATACCTATGTTCCTGTATGCTTGTTCCTTTTGGATTTCCTGTTACCAACCTGGCTTGCTTCTGGACTTCCCGCTGCCTCTCTCTTGGCTCTACCCTCGGCTTGTTCCATGGACCTGTTCCCGATTGCCTCCTGTGTATGACCCTGGCCAACCTCCGACCACGCTCCTGTCTATTCCTCTACTTGACCACTGTGCTCTGATCTTGGCTTCCGTTCCTGACCTGGTCTCTGCCTCAACCCACCTACTCTGATCTGCCTGCACCTCCAAGTGCGTCATCCTGGATCAGCTACCTGCAGTGCTTGGCTTCCTACGGAAGAGGCCTCACCACTGCAGATCCATCTGACTACCATACAGCTGGCAACCCATGCTTCTTCGGGCTCAGCATCTCCTGTCACCATCTCCAGGGGTATTGTTCACTCATCCACAAGGGAAACCCTCTCTTCATTTCAGTCTCAAGTCCAGGCATAGATTGCATAATAAATAAAATATTTTTTGCAAAACAGTATTGCCAAAAGAAAGTCATGTCTGTCCTGAAATAAATATGTGTTATACTTTGTCATTACCAAATCAAACCTATAGCAGAAATATAGAAATTCCATAAGGGGTATAAAGAGACGAGAGGTGAACTGGATAACAGAATACACACCCAACACAATAAAAAGTATAACAGCTTTGATTATCTTGATTTACTAACCTGATTACAGACATCCAGAACCAGAGAGGATCCCTCATAATTCTGCACTTTGCAGCTGTTCCTGGAAAAAAGAATAGTTTAATTACTACAAATCTACTATATCACGTATTACTGAAACATCGCAGACTACATACAAAGGGTAACAGCACAAGAAGAAAAATGGAGCTGATGGAATTCACCAAACTCTGCTCATGCATGGATCATATATCTTTCAGCATGCTGGGGAATACATACTATTCAGGTTTACAGGCACTAAAATGGCCACACTATGGTGTCTGGGTATGTACAGAGCATTTGAAAAAAAAATCATCATATTTTTTGATATCAGACTTTTTAACAGTAAGCCAACATCTAAAATTGTTCCACCAACTGCTTAATTTTCCATGCCACATGCATTCACTACACTCTGCTCCATGGCTACCCATTATGCCTCTAGATTCAGTACTGCCTAGTAGTAGGGGAGAACTGGAACTCTGGTCTGGAGAGCAAACACAACCAGGTAGCCCTTTCATGGTAGAACCAAAGAAACCCATACCACCTAAAGTGTACCACAGTGCATTTTGTGAAGCAACATTTAATTGTAACCTCATCCAACATCAGCTTTCTTTGTGGCTCCATTTGGTCAAATTACATTTCAAAACTGCAAAGGAATCTGTTGCAAAAAGACTTCCCTCTGCTGGACACCATGTTCTCAGGTCTGATCGGGGAGCAGATAGCTGTATTATGTACACCATGTATCACTGACTAATTTCCCTACTCTGTTTTTTGCCTTAAGCCCTTTATATATATTAGTAGCACTGGTCTGGAGCAAATATCCCCCTGCGCAGTCCTCCCCTGCCAGAGGCCTTTGGAGAAAAAGGTGGACAAATTGATGAGTTCAGGAGCCAATTATTCCAAATTTGGAGCCAACAAGAAATTTAAAAGAACAAAGGAACACATGGGTTTCAATTGGAAAAAAAAAAACAACTTCAGTGTCAGGTGTAATTTTTTTTGATGATCTGGCCACCTTGCTCAAGGGATTTGTTCATTCCTCCATGGAAACGTTTTCACAGAAGGAAGGGAAACTGTGGTATACAGCCATGTGCTACCAATGCCCCCTGTTTATGTACATTGATTAATATATAAGATAGTGCAGCGCTAAAAAAAAAAAACTATGTTAATGTGATAAAATCAATAAGATAATATAAATGATCAATGGAATATATGAGTTAAATGAAAACCATAAATAATCATCATAGTGAAAATTCTTAAATATTAAAAATAAAAGTCTATAAATAAATTCAAATTCAGGGATCGTAAATGGGCCCCAAGGTGACGCAGATATTCCCGGTGGTATATCAGTCATAAAACAAAATGGTGGGTGGTGACAAGTAGATAAAATAGGCACTCACCAGATGCGCAATGAAAATGCGCAATGTATTTAATTAAGCGGAGGTCTGCCTGGTATCCCTCTTAAGATGGTAAAGCTTAGGATAGGTAGATAAACATCAGAGTGGCTTTACATCCATGGGTCCACTTTAAGGACGTACATACAGCCTCTTCTTAAACCAGGGATGGTCACCAGGGGGCACCCCCTGGTGACCATCCCTGGTTTAAGAAGAGGCTGTATGTACGTCCCGGTGACCATCCCTGGTATAAGAAGAGGCTGTACGTACATCCTTAAAGTGGACCCCTGGATGTAAAGACACCCTGATGTTATCTACCTATCCTAAGCTGTACCATCTTAAGAGGGATTCCGGGCAGACCGCTTGATTAAATACATTGCGCATTTTCCTTGCGCATCTGGTGAGTGCGCATTTTATCTACTTGTCTCCACCCACCATTTTGTTTGATGACCGATATACCACCGGGAATAACTGCCTCACCTTGGGGCCTACATATGATCCCTGAATTTGAATTTATTTATGGACTTTTATTTTTAATATTTAAGAATTTCACTATGATGATAAATTATGGTTTTCATTTAATTCACATATTCCATTGATCATTTATATTATCTTATTGATTTTATCACATTAACATAGTTTATGTATATATTAGTCACTTTGAAGGTTTATGGTCTCCTTTTTAGTGCATAGCTGCTTTTTTTATTAGTCAAGCGCTCGCTGATATTTCTTCTTATATTATGTACACTGATATTTTGCATGAGAAAGAATGATGAGTTAGGATAAAAGTAAATGGCACAAATGAAGTCGATAAACTATAACTGAAATTCACATTGCACTCAACACAAATAAAAGATGCCCCTAATTTTCAGACATCCATATCACAAGCTTATTAAAGTGAAACTGAAACTTTGTTTTAGTTTTTGACAAAATAGGAAAAGGTTAAACCTATATATTTATTTTTTGCTGTCTGTGTCATATTAGAGAGGGCCATGTAGTGAAGATTTCTGAATTGTGGCTAGGTAGTAACAAAAGTAAACAATGGAAGTGGGGGTAATGTAAAAAAAAAAAATACAGCTCAGGGAAGAACTGGGAACCCTTGTGCCAGGAGGCAAGTGGCCCTGCCCTGTCATGGTAGCCAGATTTTTGTGGGCCAAAGCGTGTAATAATGCTGCAGTTGTTGATGGGAATGGTGAAAGGTGGGTATTCCTGAAGAACATGATTTTCGTGACACACCTTTCCACCTCTTCTAGAATCAGCTTCCTTTGTTGCTTTTGGCATTCATTCACATGACATTTCAGAGCTGAAAATGAAGTTGGCGCTAGGTCAGATCTCCTTCTAGTCTGTCAGATGTGAACAAGGGTAGCTAGCTATATATTGTTCACCATCATTGACTGGAGGTCCCACTCTGCTCAATGCCTGAATGGTGAATTATTTCCACTCAGGCCAACCAGCCCAACATATCCTATTACTGGCAAAAGAAGCAATTGCCCCTCTGCCCCCTAATTAACACTCAGAAAGCCTAAGGGCTCGTTCACACTTGACTATTTCTAACTCTTGCCAAACGCCCCTATAGCATTTGACAGGCATTAGACAGGCGTTAGGGAAATGCTCCCCAAACGCTCCCAAAACACCCTATGCGCGGTTTTGAGGCGGTTGATAGGCGTTTGCCAAGCATTAAGACCGCACCACAAACTCCTATAATGAAGTTAAATGGTATTAACACTCCACAACTGCCTCGCAACCGTGTCGCAACCGCACCACAAACGCCTGCCAGGCATTTTCGGAGCGGCACCATAGACTTGAATGGGAGGCTTCAACTCCTCCTGACTCGACACGAGGCGTCAGTTTTTCCGCAACGCGAATGCTTCCGTGTGCTGCCATGTGTTAAAAGCACTTCCCAAACACCTGTCTGATGCCTGCTGACAAAGTTAGAGTGAACGTAGCCTTACTGTCAACCATTATGGAGGATGCAGCTTTTTAGCTCTGCTGCTGTATTTGAACAGTGGGAACTAAGCAAGCACTGATATGTCCCTTGTCACTGCTCCTACTTACCTTCTTGCCCCAAGTGCGGTATGCAAAATAAAATTATGTTTCCAAATAAGGTTTAATCTGGATGATTATTACGATTGGGTTTGCATGGTTCTACTGAGCTAATGTCAGGTATCTAGCATAAACTGTAAGTGAACCTGTGCCCAGGCTATGCACATTAATGTACTTTTATATTGTGAACAAGTAGTAAAAGCACTTTAAAACAAGTCCCCATTCACCTCTGTATCTATAAGCACTGTGGAGAAAATATTATTCAAATTTCATAACACAGGCATTAAAAGTTTCAAATGTAAACGAGTAGCTGTTACAAAATGCCTGAAACCTGAGTTTAGAGTCTGTTGTGATCTTTGAGAACGAATAACTTCATATTAAATGCATCTAGAGAGGACTAGATATAGCAGCGTAATGAAGGCTTGTTTTTTGCGTTAAATTTTTTTTTAAGAAGAATAAAACAATCATAAGAGAAAATATAACAATCTCAGACCAAGGATCATCTTTTCCACCTTGTGCTTTATAATATATTGAAGGAACATGTATAGAAATAATGTAGTTCAAGAGGACGAGGGCTTGTTTTAAAGCTTTGTTATTGGTTGTTAAAAATATGTAAATAGTTCACCTCCACAGTCGGGGCGCAGGTGCACTTTAAATTTTCTGCAGTTTTTCCAAACTTATTACACAATAAGAAAACACTGCCTCAGCAAGGGCAGAATGCACTTAACTTTTCTTGGTCTGTCCTGTTTAAATTACCATTTATTCTTGGACAGGACTCAATGTCAAGCAGCAGTCAGAAAGCTTAACAAGACCATGCAGTATTAGAAAGGGTCATTAAGACTGGGGAATATTAATCCACATTAACTGCAGTTGTGGGCACATGTTCAGAGAAACATCAAAGTAATAGAAAACCTTCCGAGCAGATCATAGATCTAAGGAAAACAAAGTAGAAACCTTCAAAGACAGGGATTTACGATACGTCAATCAAGATCTGATTTTAAGGAAATTTGAACAGTTTCAGATAAAAGGCTTCCTCGGAGAAGTTCAGCAAATTAAACATGCAGAATTTATTGTCTAGGAGAGATGGTGAATGCTTTACAAGGTTAGATTTCCCTAACAATTTGTTTCTGCTTGTTAAGAGCTTTATTTTTAAAGAGTGACCACATACAACCATCAGTTATGAAATCTGTATTTGCCCTAAAATCAGCAGGTGACACGAATCTTCATATGCATACCTGTTTTAATTACACACACCATGATCACACAGGCCTGGTGTGTATCCAACAACCACCACCACCCTTCCTGGCAGGCTAAAGGAATCACTCTAAATGCCCTGAACAATGTGTCTGCAGTGTACCATGGGGAAGGCTATATATATGGCCTTAATCAAAGAGTTAGTCCACCAACAATAGATATTTCAGTTTTTGGTAGATGCTAGAAAGTTCAACTACTTAACAGCTTATTATGAGGGGCATTCAAGTCAAACTAGGGACTTTTGAGTTCATATAATAGAAGAACAAATTTCAAGGAGTCGAAACTGCATTTATTTTTCAACATACTCCCCTGCTACATTTATACACTTTACAGTATCCTAGCATTTAACTAATGCCATAGAAAGATTTGTCAGTATGCC